ACTAGAGCATCAAGGACTGCAGGCATGGGGAATGTGATGGCAAATGGTCTGGGAAGAAGGTGCCTGCTGCTACCTTGGGTCCCCACTTAGCCCGCACCTTTGGGCCCCTGAAGGGAATCTCCAGGCAGACGTTTGTGCCAGCTTCACCTCTTCATGTCCCTGGTCAGCTTGGAGACCTGGCACTGTGCACCAGCATGCCAAGTGCAGGTGTGCACTAGCCCCTACGTGTGCACACTCAGCAACCTAGGCACAGGGGCAGTGGGAGGGGCTGTGGTGGAACGTTGTGCCAGACGGGGGCAGGCCAGTGGGGTGGGGGGCTTGGCTCCTGGGGTGTGTGCCCAGAGGAGGGCAGAAGGAGACCTTCTGTCCTTGCCCTCGCAGGGTGAGAGGGAGCAGAAGGCAGGCTGACCCAGTTACGAACTGGCTCCTTTCAAAGCCGCGTGGCTGTGACTGGGGGCTGCTTGAAGTGGGTCAGCCTGAATATATGCGTTGATCTTAAACTCTTCAAAAACTCACCCATTAACCGTCCACATCCTGTGTTCATTAGCTTGTGAGCCAAGGTGATGAGGCCTCGCCTGCTTTCCTTGAGCAGCAAGTGTGCCTAGGGGCTAATAAACAGCAGGTGCTTCCAATAAATAGGACTTTAATACTCACTGTAAATGTGGGTGCAAATAAAAGGTGGAAATGAAAGGTGGGAGTTGAGTTGGACAAGCAAGTTACACAATTTCTGAGCTGTTTTGAAGCAGGAGCGTGGCTGTATACGATCTCTGCATCAAAGCTACAGGGAGTGTACACAGCGTGAGGGGATGGGAGGATGTGCTTTTGTGACAGTGCATATGTGTGTGTGGTATGGAGGATGCTGTGTGTATGAGAGAGGAGGAGAGATGGAACACAGGTGTCAAGGGCAGGTGCCTGTACAGTGGTTGGGAGGCCCACATCCCACATCGGGGTGCCTGGGTTCCAGCCCCAGCTCCTCTGCTGACTCCAGGTCTCCCACTAGCACACAACTGACAGAAGGTTGGCTGTTAGGCCCTTGCCACACATGTGGGAGACCCAGATGGAGTTCCTGGCTCCCAGCTTTCGCCTGGCCTGATTCTGACTGTTGTAGGTGAACCAGCAGATGAGAGATCTTTATCTCCTTCAAATGAAAGACTCCCCTTCCAGATGGGTTGGCAATCAAACCAGTTGCATCTTCTGTGGGGCTTGAGCGTCCGGATAGACAGAGCAGGACATGAAGCCAGGGGCTTCTTGGAGCTTAGGAAAGGTATCTGCCCACATTGCCAGCCCTGATAGCAGGTAGGGCACTTCCTTGTTACCCTTCCTCTTCCCTGCTCCTTGACAAGACCTGGAGCGCTGTGTGCTCTTCCCCAACCCGCCATCCTGGGGTGACTTTGGCCTCCGCAGCATGGGGAGGAGGCTGTGACAGGCTGGAGAGGGACTGCAGAAATGTCTCAGAGTTCCTCCTGGGCCCCCATGAGATGTCTCTCATGCTTCTCGCTCAAGAGCCATCTCCTTAGAAGGTCAGTCCCCCATTGCCCTCCTGCCCTGGGGGACCCTGCCTTCAGCCTCCCAGGAACCCCAGAGCTGCAAGCTCCTCTGTAAGCCCTGACTGTGTGCTCTGGAAGTCATCAGGATATGTCCCGGGAGCACAGGCTGTCCCTGCGGAAACAAGAGCTGCATTTCAGGGACCCTGAAGGGTCCTTGTTTTGGGCTTGCACACTGCCAGTGGGGAGACAGCAGTGGAGCCGGGAAGCTGGGGCAGAATTGGACTGTGACAGCCCCAGGCAGGCGTGTAAGGGCGGAGACTCCCAAATCCTTCCTGTTGCCCGTCCTGATGTGCTTCTTCTCGGGTCAAGTGCAGTGTGCCTGCTTCCGAGCTCACTCAGGAGATGCTAATGGGGACTAATGAGGGTGTTCTGCCTCAATACCAATATTGTCAATAATTAGCTGTGATTTCCTAGGTGCTGGGAGGAGGCAATAGCACCTGGCCTGGCCCAGCCCAGCTGGTTTAGTTCATTCGTGTACCACCAGTATAGCCACTCCAAGGTCTTTGGGTGTTTCCGGGATGTTCCGGGTTTGGGCATTTTCCAGGAGTTAAAGGAACATGAGACCTTCCTTCCAGTATGTGTCTAATTCTAGCCAGAGATGGGCCCTTAAATTCAGCCAAAGATTGGCCCTTGGCCTGTTGTAGCTTGCAATGCAAGACTCCTGTGTGCAACTGTATAAAATCGACCTGGGGGTTCCCCTGGAGGAGGCATAGCCTGCCTCGATTCATAGCAGCCCAACAGCATCAGATGGTGGGAGAAGGAGAGATCTTCCATTCTCAAATGGCCACAATGGCTGGGGCTAGACCAAGTCAAAGCCAGGAGGTTCATCCGGGTCTCCCATGTGGGCACAAGAGCTTAAGTACTTTAGGTCATCTTCCATGCCCTCCCAGATGCACTAGGGAGCTGCCAGGACTGTAACCAGCACTCATATGGGATGGCAGCATGGCAGGTGACAACCTGGTCTGCTGGGCCAAAGCACTGGCCCCATCGTTTGTTGATGTCTGTGGTGTAAATACTGCCAGCAAGTCCACTTTCAAACTGCCACTTGGCTTGATAAAATGCTCACAAGACCCCTGACCAGTTGACAGTCAGCTCTTGATTTACTGCGCAGTGAGTGCTAATCAGAAGCCCCCACCCCTACCCCAGACCTAAAAGCTGTTCCTGGAGCCCAGCACTCCATGTCCTTGGCCTTGCAATGTGCTCTTCTGCAGCCCCTGGCTAGCTCAGGGCCCCCTGCTCTCCAGGATCCTGGAGTACCGGCTGGTCTTCCTCACGGGCTATTAGGATGATCACTCAGGTGGTAGGTATGAAATGACTTTGCCAAAGTAACATCACACCAAATCAGGTGAAGTCCTGAAGGACTACCTATTTGTAGCTCAAGAGCCATGGGGTAATATCACAGTTCAAAAAGCCACTTGGTGACAACTGAGTATACAAGCTGACAGGTCCCCCTCCCTGGGTCACATGCTAGCCTCCTCACTTCTTGTCACTTCTGGGGACCAGGTGTCTGATGTGATGAGCACCTGGGAGCCAGAGAGCCACTAAGCCTACACCCTGTGTCACAGGATGACTCCCAGGGGTCTGGGAGTCTTGGCAAACTTCATTCACAGAAGGGGTTTCCTGGTTTTGTGGGCAGCTGGACCATTTCTCTGGACACAGGTGTAACTGTTATGCAATCTCCTCGGACACCCACCTGTTCTTGACACCTTGCCTGTGACTCCACTTCCCCTTGCTCTGGGCTCCTGGAATGCCACCACAGCCCCACCTTAGCCAGGCAGCTGTGCCGAGAGGTGTGGAGCCAACTGCTTGTCCTGTGGCTCACTGTGTAGGGTGGAAGGTGATGGAGACCGCAGCAGGGAGGGGACCCTCTTCCGGCATGGACAGGACCCCAGGGAGTCTAAAGGCAGGGCTGGTACTGGGGTACACGTGGGATTTCGCCAGACACTGGATGATAAATGACACTGAAAGCAGATGTGGGACAGGTTCCAGGTGTGCCACTGAGTCCTCTTCCTCTCCTGTCCTTAATCCCTGCTGTTTGGTGACAGTTCAGGGGCAAGCAGGAATGCCCCTAGGCCCTAGAAGAAGTCTCGTTGGGGGCTGCCTATGCTAACCCCACAAGCCTGCAAGCCTCAGACTACAGAATCATAGAAGTGGGCCTAGAGAGCAGCCAGTGGCATGTGGTTAGCCAGGGGTGGGCACATGGGCTGGGGTCGGGGAGAAGGCTTCGTGGAGGAGGTGATATTTCAATGGGGTCATTAAAGTGGGTCACTTCACTGGCCCCATCTGCCTGCACAGGCCAAGGCAGGCCTGCAGTTGTGTTTATAGATCTGCTCTGTGGGCTTCTGCCTGCTCCAGGACTGCCCCCTCACCCTGGCAGCCAGGGGGCCATGCCAGCAGACTCTGCAGCCAAAGCCTTCTGGGTTCTCACAGCAGCATCACAACCATGGCAGAATCTTCAGAACGAAACACAGAAGCACCCTATCCCCCCACCTGCTGTTTTCATAAATGCCCAGGTGTGTGTGTGTGTGTATGTGTGTTTGTGACAGGGAATGGTATTGGAAGGGGCCAGACTGGCAGGGGACAACCAGCATAGCTGGACATGCTCAAAGTTGAAGATGGACCCTGGATTCCTGCCTGTATTCCTGGAAGTTCGAAACCATAGTAGCCCACTTCTGGGCCTTGATGAGAGCCCATGGGCTGCAGCCTCGCTCCAGACAGGGCTGACTGGGTCAGGAGTGATCAATGAGGGGAAAAGATCTCAGCAACTGAGCTCCTATGAGAAGATTCCAAGTGTATGTGTGTTTGTGTAAATGTGTGCATTTCTGTGTTTGTGTATGTGGGTGTGTCTGTGTATGTTGTGTGCACTTCTGTATGTTTGTATATGTATGTGCTTGAGTGTGTATGAATGTGTATCTGTGTGTGTGCATTTCTGTATGCTTGTTTTTGTATGTGTATGCATGTGCTTGAGTGTGCATGAATATGAGTCCTCTCTCAGAGATCTATTTCCGTGCACTGTTGAGAAAGTCTGGGGTCTTCCTGGGTCTCCCTCTCACAGGAGTCAGAGAACCCAACAGCTGGTGGGTTAGGGTTAGCATGTGAGACACCTGCCTGTGGGTGCAGCACCTTTCCCCTGGCCACGGTGGTCCTTTGGGGTGAGGCCAGAGGGGCTTCCACAGCCCCAAAGCTGCCGGCCTCTGCTCTCTGCCTCTTCTCTCCTACACTGGTTGATGACAAACACCCCAGTGTCCTAACATCCTCTTCCTCAGTCCTCATCTGACAGAGGAGGGTCCCGGGGCAACCCCCTGCCCACCTCCCTGAAACTGGCCTTTCTTGCACTGTGGGCCGGCCTGTCCATCCCGGGATGGCTGCAGAAGGGCTGGGTGAGGCACCCATCCTGCTAGTCCGGCAGGATATTGGGGAGAGGGCGGGACCAGGAGAGGCGGGGCTTCCAGAACAAAGGAGAACGGGGAGCCCTGGGGGCCCAGGCTAGGCATCAAAAAGGCTGTGCAGAGCGAGCAGACCACACAGTGCCTGCCTCTGTGCCCTGCAGCCAGCCAGCCAGCCAGCCAGCCAGCCAGCCCTCACCCACTGCCTCCTGTGCCTCCCACTTGCCCTCGGCCGGGCAAGCACACACCAGCTGCTGCCAGAAGCCCTGTTCTCCAGCGTGATTGCTCCCACACTGCTCTGTGGCTTTCTCTACCTGGCGTGGGTCGCGGCTGACGTTCTAGAAGCAAGCAGAGGGATGGCCGCCAGTGGAGCCAGAAACCAGGTGGGGCGCCAGGGACGCACCTTTGTCCCAGAGCCTTTCGACGGAGCCAATGTGGCCCCCAGCCTCTGGCTGCACCGCTTGGAGGTCATCAGCAACCTCAACGGCTGGGACCAGGCCACCAAGCTCAGGTCCCTGAAGGAATCCCTCAGGGGAGCTGCCCGGGGAGTCTACAGTGGACTGGACCCTCAGGCTCAAGGAGATTACGGGGTTGTGAGAGAGACCCTTCTGCAGGCCTTCGGGGGCCCAGGGACCACCCGCAGCTCCCAGCCCAAGGAGATCCTGTTCGCCAACAGCATGGGTAAGGGCTACTACCTCAAGGGCAAGATTGGCAAGGTGCCCGTGAGGTTCCTGGTGGATTCCGGGGCCCAAGTGTCCGTGGTCCACCCCAGCCTCTGGGAAGAAGTCACTGACGGCGATCTGGACACTCTGAGGCCCTTTGAGAACGTGGTGAAGGTGGCCAATGGGGCTGAGATGAAGATCCTGGGCGTGTGGGACACGGTGGTGTCCCTGGGCAAGCTGAAGCTAAAGGCTGAGTTCCTGGTGGCCAATGCCAGCGCTGAAGAAGCCATCATTGGCACTGACGTACTGCAGGACCACAACGCCGTCCTGGACTTCGAGCATCGCACCTGTACCCTGAAGGGCAAGAAGTTCCGCCTGCTTCCTGTCGGGGGCTCTCTGGAGGATGAGTTCGACCTGGAGCTCATCGAGGAGGAGCCCTCGGCAGAGCAGGAGCTGTCCTACTGAGAACCCTTGTCCCCAGCCCTGTCTCCACCCCAGCACCACCAGGGAGACCTGCCATGCTGTGTGGCGGGGTGGGGAGTGGGGCGAGCCCCGTCTTCAGGAGTATCCCTGCACTTAGCCAGTCCTCTGAGAATGACTCTCCTCCCTTCCCCTTTTCCCTGTAGGGACCTTCCTCTACTCCTGGGTTGGGGGAGACTTCCAAGGGATAGGCCAGGGACAGGGGGAGCTGTGGCTTACACAGGGAAAGAAGGTCTCCATGCTCAGCAAAGATGCGAAGGCTGGAGAAGCTTCTGGGGGTGGGAGGACTAGGAATGCTGGGCTTTGAGTGGGAACTGGAGGACCCCTTCGATTCGTCTGAGGTGCAGCCGGGTAACCTGCCGGCCCATGGAGCCTGCTCAGCAGGGCTTGGTCTTGGCTGCCAGATGGTTTGAGCTGGGCCCAGCTGGCAGGTGGCAGGTGCTGAGGGATGCCTTCCTGGTGACTCTTCCCATCCGTGCAATGGTACGTTCCAACCTTCCGTCATTTGCTTTGAACCCCACTGAGCCCTGTGCCGATAATCTGATTACCTCAAAACTCAATAAAGACCAATTCATGGAGACAGCATGCAGTATGTTGCTTGGGGGTAAATGGCACAAATATGGGGTAGCGGGGGAATAGGGAACAAATGTCAAAGACTAGGGAGGTGTGCGGGCTCACAGGAGCATGGGTGGTGGATTCCTGAGATGGCCTTAGTCCAGCTGGCTTCACTCCTTCCACAAGCTCTCCCATCAGTTCTTATCTAATCTTCATCTCTAATTTTTCAGCCTGTAATAGTTTGGCATCCAAATTACCCCTAACGCCCAAAAGTGACTCTAAAGTTATTTGTGAGATGTCTCCATTGGGGAGTGGTTATTGTAGACAAATGGGAAGGTGCTGCTGGGTAGATAGTTTCTTATGGCCATCTCCAAGCTTGAACTAGGGTAGAGAGCAAGGCTGTGGGCCAAGCACTGACCTGTGTGGGGCGGTCCAAGGGGACTCTGGGGGCCAGGGGAGGTGATGGCAGTGGGCACTCTGGTGGAAACGGTGTGTGTGTGGGGGGAGGGGGGGTTCCAGCAGCTTCTTCCTGGAGGAACCGGCAGTGGGGCCCCGACCTGGAGAGAGCACACAGTAGGAAGGACACCACCAGACCTGGGCAGTGGTGCGCCTCTCTGAGGAGTCCAATGCAGGTTTGCTAACCAGCACTTGCTTCTTCCGCTGGGACTTGGCAGAGCTGGGAGGCTGCAAAGGGGGATGGAAATTTCCACCGGGAAGCAGGCCCCGTTGCCAGGTGCATCAAGAGAGCCGACTGCCCACACCCTCCACTCTGACCTTGGAGGCTTGAGGCTGGGACATGCTGGCACCTTGCCTCTGCAGGGTGCCTGGGGGCCTAGTGTTTGGACAGCCTCTTGAAGGAGGAGTGGGGGGACATGAGGGCCATTTTCCCTTCCTGAGGGTGGGGTGTGTCTCTTCTAGAAGTTTCCACTTGGACCACTCCCGAGGGAGAGGCAAGCTGCCTGGGCAGGAGCCTGAAGGCAGGTTGCCTCTCGAAGCCCACTGGAGCCCGTAACAACCACTTCCTCCTGAAGCTCGCCCTGCAGCTCTGCTGGAAACTGAGGCAAGGCTCAGACCTCCCTGGACAGCCTCGTGGACACATGGGGCAGAGGATAGGTGCAGGACCAGGAAGAAGCCCAGCCAGGAACTGGAGAGTCAGGGGTAGTCTTGAGTGTCCTCTACTCCAGCATCCCCATCTTAAGTCTGTTTTTCCGCCCTCTTCTGCTGGTGCCACCCTGAGAAACCACCTGGTGGCACCTCCCTGTGACCTATTTTCCTGTGGGTCCTTCTGATCCTGGCCATGTGCTGGGCTGCAGGAAGGAGGGTGGCAAGTGGGAGAGGGCTGGAGAGCTGAGTGGCCACGCATAAATCCAGGGCACCAGCTAAATCCCCTGCATGCTGTGTGTGTGTGTATATGCACACCAAGGGACTGGGGCCTGTGCTGAGTGTCTCCCATTCTCTAGACACCCCCCCACTCCCAGGCAGCCACCTCTTTGGGAGCAGGCCACCCCGGGAGGACCCAGGGAAAGGTGGGTCTGTGGCCTGGAGACAATGTGAGACCAGGGCAAGGCCGTGTAGGCGTGAGAATGATTACAAATGCAGCCGTGGGTAGGCAGGGCCTGCTCTCCCAAAGCTGGTATCAAAGGGGGAGCCCGGGAGAGAAGCCAGAAAAAGTGGGTCGTGGCCACATCACAGAGGGCTTACAGCCGGGTGAGGAGTTCGCAGCTGCCTTGCAGGAGAGAAGCCTCTGGCTGGAGGATGGAGCAGTGGAGCATGAAGCTGGCCAGCTGGCCAGTGGAAAAGAGGGTGCTGGATGAAGGAGCTTGTTTCTTGGGAGAACTGAAAAGAAGGCAGAGACTCCTATTGCCTGGTTCATTCCTTACATACCTGCAACAACCAGGGCTTGGGCGGCCGGCTGAAGGTGGGGCCTAGGAATGAAATCCAGGTGTTCCATGTGGAAGACAGGGATCCAACGACTTGAGCTGTCTGCGCTGCCTCCCAGAGTGTGCCTTAGTGGGAAGCTGGAATTGGGAGCTGCAGTCTTGAATCCAGGAACTCCAATTTTGTATGTGGCCATCTCAGCCCAGCTTTCCACCCAATGTACTACCCAATGGTGAAGGTTTAATCCTGGTAGTATGTGTGAATCCCATGAAAGACCAGTTACAATTCAGCTCTCCTTGGGGTCCCGGAGTGCATCCAGGCATAGGACCTCGGGTCTCAGTGCCAGCGATGCTGGCCCCAGCCTGCTCCGGAGTTGAGCCTCTGACAGGAAGGCCATATTAGCCTCCCCTGGGAGCTTATTAGAAACATGAAATCTTTGTCCTCACTCAGTCTGCACCAGCTTCGAGTCTGACAGAGCTCCTAGGCAAAGATGCCCTGGCCTGGAACCTTCTAGCACCTCCTGCCAAGGCGCATCATCTACCTCCTCTGACTCACCCTCTCCACCCATGACCACGACACACTAAATGCCGAAGAACTCGCCAGCCTGTGCTAAGTAATTCTCAGGCTTTCATCTAGCACTGATTTTTTTAAAAAACACTTTGTTTTGAAACAGTTTCAGAGCCACAGCAAAGTTACAGGAGTGGTTCAAAGAATTTCCCAAATGCCTCACCCAGTTCCTGCAAATATTCACTGTTTACTGATTACCAATCATTCTGTCACCCTCATCCTTTCTGTATGTACATGAGCTACTTGATAATCTCAAATGTGATGCATATTTACCTTTAAATAGGTCCATTTTACTTTTTTAATTTTACCTATTTGAAAAGCAGAGTTGAGAGACAGATAGAAATGGCCTATCTGTTGATTCACTCCCTAAATTGACACAATGGCCAGGCTGGGTTAGGCTGAAGCCAGGAGCCAGGAATCTTCTCCAGGTCTTCCACGTGGGTGCAGAGGCACAAGCATTTGGACCATCTTCCATTGCTTTCCCAAGCACATTTGCAAGGAGCTGGATTGGAAATGGAGCAGTGGGAACTAGAACCAGGACATGTATGGGATGCCAGCATTACAGGTGGTGGCTTAACCCACTACACCATAATGCCAGCCCTTCAATTCTAATTTTCAAAAGAACATTCACTCTGTAGCTACAATAAAGTTATTGAAATCAGGAAATTCACCCTGATGATATAACTGTAATCAGCAGAGCTTATTAAAAATTTCCCAGTTATCCCCAGTTATTTATGACTGAAAGGAAAAAATAATATTTTCTACTCCAGGGTCCAATTCAACTGCAGGTTGCATTCAGCTGTCATGTCTCCTATTCTACAATTTGAGCAGTTTATCAGTCTCTGTTCTCATGAGCTTGACATTTAAACTGTTTGGTTGTTTTTTTAATATGAGGCACCCAAAGAGTGCTCTCTTCCACTGACCTGAGCAGAGTGAAGCCCAGAGTCAGGCACTCAGTCCAGGTCTCCCCCGCAGGTGCTAGAGCTGTAGGTGCTCAAGGCATCACCTGCTGCCCCCTCCTAGGGGATCCTGGGGATGGCAGCAGAAACTGCAGCTTGACTCCAGATGTTCCATATGGAACATGTTTGTCCCAAGGGGCGACCTAACTGCTGTGCCAAATGGCAGCCCTCCCCAAGCCTGCCCGTGCCATTTCTGGGTTCTTTGTAGACTGTCTTTAACTTCGGGTAAATCCCAGGCGCCCAAACTTGTGATCAGTTTCAGGTTTTCTTGTTCTGGATACAAACACTCAGAAAGGCAGGGGTGGTGCCCTCAACCGTCCTGTCCTGCGCCCCAGGATGCCCCTGCATGCCATGGATGCTGAGGTCCACTATAGTCACAGGGTCAAAGTCTCCTCAGCTGTTCTCCCCATGTGATGAGTACGTGCCGAATGAGGCAACGCTCTGGGGGCAGTCTCTCATCAGAGGGCCACCCACTGGATCAACACCCATCTATAAGTTACTTATCACTGGGACGGTCAGTCAGTGCTGGCTTCCCCGCTCTGTGTGTTAGTTGACGCCCAACCCTCACGCTTTCCAGACTTGTTGACTGACTGACTGACTGACTGACAGCATCGTGGACTCGGAGAGTCTTATTTTAGTCAATGAGTCATCCCTCAGTTACTGTGGCTATTTATCTTAAGGCACACATTGTTTTAGATTGGGCCGTGGGAGCCTCTTCAGGCTGGCTCCCATCTTCTTGCAACATGTTTCTATGGTAGGCAGAGCCTGGGAATATTTTCTTGCACATGCGTCTCTATTGGAAGCAGATCCCAGCTGTATTTTCTTGCACGAGAAGTTGCAGGTTCACCTCCTCCCTTCCCTGAGCCAGCCCTGGGAGCCACTGTTTCTACCAGGAGTCCGGGTGCCTGTGAGTGGATTCCAGTTTTGCAAACCAGCCCATGGGGGTTCTTCCCTCCTGCTCAGTTATCAGAGCTAAGAAAGCACGTGCAAAATGTCGGCTGCCTGCTGCCATCTCTGTGTGTGTGTGTGTCTCACATATACACCTAAAGTGTGACCTCATGAAAGTGGGCATTTGGCATGCGGTTCAGATGCCACTTGGGCCACCTGCATCCTCCATCGGAGTGCCTGGATTCAATCCTGGCTCTGCTTGCAGTTTCAGCTTCCTGCTAATGCTCACCATGGGGTCAGAAGGTCCACACGGGTCCCTGCTACCCGTGTGGGAGGCCCAGATGGAGGTCTGGGTTTTGGATGGGTCCAGCCCTGGCTGTTCCGGGTATTTGTGAAGTGAACAAATGGACAGGAACTCTGTGGCTCTCTGTGGCTCTCTGCCTTTCAGAAACGAGCTGTGAGTTCATTCCCATTGCTCCAGTTCCATCCCAGCAGCAGATGGCTTATCCTAACCTCCTTTTCTGCATTTACAATTTCTTTCTCCAATAATGAGAAACTTGGCTCTGGGTTACTTAATTTTTGCTGGGAAGTACTTTCGGACTTGCTTACCCATATGCCAACAAAAAACAAGCCTAGAGGTGACCAGCTCCCAATGTCACCTGCTTGGTGTCAGGTGTGGGTGGCCTCTGGCAGCCAATGAGCAAAACGATGATAGCAG